ATATTTTGTATTGATTTAAATTTTATTAACTAAAATTTTATTTTATTTTATGTAAAATAATGTTGCTAACTATATTTTTTTCCAAACGAAGTTGGGCAGGACTTCAAACTGTCAATTACAATCCCATTGAACCGAATGGAAAAGCACAAAATTAAAAGAAAAAAAAAAGTTGCAAAATATTTTTGTTCAGTTTTTATTATTTAAAGTGGAATTATTTTTTTTATAAAACATAAAAACTACCTAAATACATTCAACTTAAAAAAAAAACCTGCCCGTAACTATATAGCAGCAACCAAGAACAAAAATTTGACTTTAAAAATGGAAGTCTTTTTAATGATTTTAATCACTCTGAATTGCATTTTTTTGCTAGAATTGACATTAGTTTTTTTAAAAATCTTTGGTGCAGATTTCACAAACATATGTTAAGCAAATGAGGAACATTCTGCAAATGAAATATTAAGTCAATATTTCATACAGTTTGAATGTAGAACAGCAGGTATGATACGTTGTACCTTTATCTTCAGCATCATATTTTCTTTTTCCACGTATGGTAGTTGACCCCGTCAATTTCTTCATTGTTCTTGCAATTCTTTACTATGCAGTCGCATCAATTGTAGATTCTTTGAGAATGAATAGAGATTGTAGATCTTAGTTTCATTAAATGAGATGTATATATAGATACCAAGTTAGAGAGAATTGAAAAATAACTATCAAACATTAGTACATGAAAGTCAAAGCTTACCATTAACAATTAATGCTTGATAGTAGGGCTATGTGTATATGAAAAGTAGTAATATTGTATGTATTGGATATTGTGTAAACTTGTATTGTACTCAACAAAGGTTATGGCTGTTTCTGGGAATTTAAATAACCAATAATGATTTCAGTATTATATCAGATTTGTTCTTCCTTTTTTCTGCATAGATAGATTAACAACAACAAATTGAAAAGTCACTAAAATTGAATTTAAGAAAAGTGAAATAAAACCACAAACCATGTATACTATTTACCATGCAAATCAAATTCAATAACTAAGATTTAGTGATAATATTAACTACTGATCAACATGCATGTGTCTTTCTAGTACTAACAGAAATGTTTTTACAAATATGGTGTAGGCACTACAGAATTGAGAGACACATGCAAACACAAACCAGAACATGGTGCAAATCAAATAGTAAGTGTAAATTTACTAATGCTTGAATTTAAAACACATGCTTCCCTTGTACCTTTTTGTGTTTTTTCTTTCTACATATGCTAAATATTTTTCATTGAAAGTTCTGAAGAATGTAGTTTAAGTGATACTTGTTTGTGTTTTGCATGGAAAAGGCAGCATAAAACCATAAATAGCTTACATGAAATTAAAACAACCATTACATACTACTTTTAACCTTTTTAGCTACTGCAACAAATGCAGTTTCCAGACCATAAGCTTCCAAAAACAACCCTGTCCATACTGGAAATGGTTAACAGTACACTGCAACAAATCCATTCATCAAAACATAACCATCAAAATACAACACTAAACACACAGCACAAACCTAAACATCTAGTCTTAGTACAACCCATTTGGGTAGTAAGTAATGACATAAAATTTGAATTTAAGAAAATGGAAAGAAAAGAACTAACCTGCTAATCTTTTGCTTGATTATGATTGGTTTCATCCTTGGAGTTCAGAAGTCTTGCATTTGGAACTTTGGTGTATGATACAACTGTTTGTATTATAAGCTAATTATTAGGAGTTCACCAGAAGCCATATCAAGAGATCGAACAAATACAATATAAAAAACTTATCATATATATATATATATATATATATATATATATATATATATATATATATATATAACACAAGTACTATACTCTAGACTACAAACAATCTAAAATTACATGCAAGCGATGATAAAAGAATCTATGCTTTTTTTTTTTTTCTTTTTCTGATTAAAGTGTTCTAATTAATTTTAAACCCTTTTTTTTTTTTCACTTTTTGTTTCTGATTCAACATAGATAAGAGGTTTGAGAGAAGTTTACCATCCTTCCAAGTAGCTGGAGCTATCAATATGCTGGGGCAGCGGGTTGGCGTACTGTGGCAGAGATACTGTGGAGGGTAATCGCCCTTGGAGGGTATCCTTGAGGGTAACCTTGGCTTGGGCAGGTAACCGGGCAGAAGGAATCCTTGGGATATCCTTCTAACAAATAACCTATTCCAGAAACTCAAAAATTCATCAGATCTGTTCTGAAAAAGGGCAAATATACGATTCAGTGGAAGAAGATTACTGAAAAAAAGCTTACTTTGAGGAGGCGGCACACCGACGGGAGGTGGCCCCTGATAGTTCCGCACACAACGCGAAGCTGCACACCAACCACTCCGGACATCTTCTTCATTGATCGCATAATATGAAATTTGTTTTTACAGTTTGCATTTGAATAGAACTTGAAGTCTCTAAACATGTATCTTCTATATATAAGCAAGCAACAGATGTAGTGAATAGGCCTGTAGAGGAGTAGATAACAACTTTGTAACACGCAATAGGCCACTCCTCTACAAATATAGCCTGACACCATACCAACTCTGCAAACACGCAATAGGCCACTCTCCTACAATTATAGCTTGACACCGTACTCTTCTGGTCAAACACTAACGCCAAAAAAAAAAAAAAAACAAAAATCTAAACGCTGTCGTTTATTGTGGGCGGGAAAATGGATGAATTTGATTGGCTGAAATTTAGTGGCGTTTATATGTATATAGATGATAGCAATGAATCTTATTGACTAAAACTTTAGCCTACAGGCAGGTTTTATGTCATTTGATTCTTCAACTCATTTGATAAAGGTTTCATCATAAATAAATTTTTCAGTTGGATCTAATTGAGCAAAACTTTAGCCCACAGGTAAGTTTTATGTCACTAGATTCTTCTGGCTCTTTAGTAATTGAGATAGAATATTATCATAAGGGTTTAATTGGATTTAATAGAATTAAAACTTTAGCCCACAGGCAAGTTTTATGTCAATAAATCCCTTAACTCACTAGATAATAATTTTATCACAATTCTTATAATTTATAAATTTAGTTCAATTATAATTCTAAGTTTCATGATTTGCATTCGCAAAACATGTTTTTCAGTCACTTCCCAAAATTTAGTCACTTTTATTAATTGATCCACGAATCTTGCTCAGTTCTTCGGACTAACTGTAGTAAGTTACGTGATTTGACATACATCTTTTGGATTCCATTAATAATAAAATGTATCTTTTGAGCCAAATTCTAACTTGGTTTTGGAAGATGTATTTTGTTTTTTTTAGTATGTCCAACTATGGTGGGAAATTATATCTTCATTATTTAGTTGGACTTTAATTGAAACCAAAAATTGATTATTTAGTATATCCAACTAATGGTGGGGAATTATGTCTTCATTTGTTAGTTGGTCAATAAATCAATTATGAGTATGTATATTATTAAGTTCACTTTATTAATTTCGCTGAAGAATATCTTAATCAGTGGGAGTGATCATTTAGAAAAAGATCATTAAGATACTCCACTAAAGATTATGGATTTAATTATTGTCTTCATACATCCTAAATTTGATTGTATGTCAAACAATAAGTCCAAAATATTCCACAAGTATTAATCTTGTATTTGTTCATATAAATTCATAAGTTCAAATTATTTAACATTTTGTAGTGCAACATATTTATGAAAACGTTGTAACAATAATATTGAGGAATTTATTAGAACAAAGGCATTTAACTTGTGTTACACTGTCATTTAATAAATTCTTCAGTGATTAATAGAGTCTTTAGTTTCTTCAAAATTAATCCTGGGCCATTTTGGTTTGTAGGGCTCAAAACAATTTTGTGGGACGTATAAGTAAGACTCATTATGTTCAGTTCATTTAAAATGAACATTGAAGTTATTTGGGAAGTTATGGTGTATGATTAAGATTCCAAATTTATGGACTTAGACCTTTGGTTTATTGTTTAAGTTTTTGGAATATTTCTGTGACTTGACTATCTTTTGGCTATTTTTGATGAGTGGGAATGACAGACGTGTCAACTCCAAGCTCTTAGCCGTTAGAGATAGTACTTAAAGTTAACTTATAATGTTTTAGAGATCATACAGTGTACTCTTTTGTAAAATTTGGATGCGTTTTCTCCTTCAGTTGTGCACATAATGTATTTTGAGAAACATCCGTTAAAGTACCGAGAATAAACATAGGGTTTGTTCATAAAGGACCTAAGTTGGAGAATTAAAATGCATGTGACCATAATGGATACTACTCTGATTAAATAGAGGACATATCACTATGATTCGTGTGTTTTGTTCTTTGATGAAGGTTGTGCTAGTACTTGCACCAAGTGGGAGAATGTAAGATTTTTCCTAATAATATATATTATATATTATATATTAGGGCCTTAATTAAGTGGTGCAAGTTGACTAGGCTTATTAAGTGGTCTGGTTGGACTTAATAACTAGTAGTTGTTAGTCAACCAAACTCTGTGCCTAATATAATCCTGGATTGATGGGATACAGGATGATGGATGTTAGCACATTCAGTTACGGTACTCAGGCTGCTCAGTAGATACCAATACACCATCTAGGGTTCTGAGTCAGGTCTGAGGCAAAACATGGTTAACGGTCTACCGTTAAGAGGCAACACAACAGGAACATTGACTATGGCTGGAGATCTACATGGCTACGCTTCCGCTATCATACGAGGTCAGGTTTCTCGTATACTATGGTTTATTATAGTTAGACTATTGTATATCTAACAATGTAATGTAATCCTATTTTTTTTAATACAAACAATGGTAACAATGGCAAATTGTTTTAACAGCACAATGTAGTTATACATTTAGTCTTCAATTGCTTCACATTTACTCTTGCTATATTAAGTAATTTAAGTTTATTTTAATCTTCTCAACTAAGATCCTTCACATATGACCGTACTGGATTTTAGGATATGTTCTTAGAATTCTTTGTATTACATAAAGTTGAAAACAATATATTAGTATTAATTTATAAAATCAATTCAATTAAAAGTATAATTGAATTTTACAAGAGCATCAGAAAATGCATTTCATCATGTGCCACTAACTTGAAATAAAAAAGTTAGTATAAATTTATAAAACCTATGAAAAGGCCAAAGAGAAAGACACAACTGCATTTTCATGTTTTGGAAAATATGTACGCATACTTGTGATTCATACGGATATCAATGTCTTTAGCCAAAGCCTGTTGACGGTAAATATGTTACGGGAGAATCTAATTGATAAGTAATAAGTTACAAATGTATTGCTAAAGTTCTTTATGTATTTGAATCAGATTGTGTCCCTGCTTAGCAAGGTGTGAGGAGCTAAATACTTTATTTTCTTAATACCATATCTTGAATAAGTGATAGTAAACGCCTCCGTAGTAATAATTCTAACAATTATGACTCTATAGTAAATGATTCTGTCCGTTGGACTTATTGAGGTGGTTTCGGGTCAGGTGCTTGTTGGTGACTCGGGTCGTGCTTGTCCCATTACTTTGTCACCTGTATTACAGGGTAATAACTTTGAACCATTAGTCCATGACCACCAGAAAGTACATTCTCCTGCACATAATGAATTATCATATAAGCACTTATGCAGTACTAATCATATTTATTAAAAATATATTGTGTATCCCGTACACTTTTCTGCACATGAATTGAAATTTGAAAGCACTTAATCAAAAGCCAGCATAAACTTTGGCAATAGAAGACATACTTTATACTTGATGGGCATACATGTAAAAATTCATTCTGAAATTTGGGTTAATATTCAATCACTTCTTAGATTTTTGTTTTCTTTGAGAAGGATATCTAAACTTTAATGAAAGCAAAAAGGTGCAAAAAAATGGATATCACAAAAATAATCTAAACTTTACCAGACTTCCTTTTCTTACGGGAAATCAGGTAAGGGCAGCCTATATTTGTAGGAGAGGACTTAAATATCGCTGCTTACAGACCAAAATAATCTATTATCAACAGGTATCTAATTTTATTTCTATAGAATATTAATTAATTTATTTAATTTATATTACTTGGTACGTATATATAGGTTACGTTCGTGACATAAAGAATAGAAGTCAATTTGCATTTACATCCACAATATTCGAGGCACTTCTTAGATTACACTAGAGTGGATTCATTACTCTTTACTTGTGGAATGAGACTTCTTTAGTTGTGAAGATTCATGCAGTCGATGGGATGAAAATTTGGTTGTTACTATTACATTTTAGAAGGTAAAATACTCTATTTTTCTCATTTTACATATTCTTTTCAGTATGATATGACAACCAGATAGCCAAAGAACTCTGTGGTTAAGCGTGCTTGACTTATATCTGTCAGATGATAGATGACCCCCTGAGAAATAAGTATAATGCAGATCAGAGATCCATCAATTAGTATTAGAGCAGAGGTCAATTTGAATCAGAGCATAGGTCAATTCGTATCAGAGCAGCGGTCACCGGTTCGAATCGATTGCAATGCGAAAACCGAGTCCAATCCCGGATGGTATTGTGAGAATATGAACTTCTGTAGTTTATCCAACATAAACCAAAGTGTTTAAATAATAATACAGAGCCACAAAAGCATGAAAAGTTACACCTGAAACATAAGACTAGGAAAAATATAAACAAATATAATCCTAATGAAATATAAGCATAACAAATATAATAAGACTAGACTAAGTCTTAACACGCCTCCACAAGATTGAGGCACCGTCAGTGAGCCCAAGCTAGGAACAAAACGCAGCAAATAGACGAAGACTAAGAGGCTGAGTGAGGAGATCGGTCACCTGATCAACTGAACGGACATAGCTTACACTAGGGGTGTAAATGAGCCGAGCCGCTCACGATCCACTCGCGAGCGGCTCGGTCAAAGCTCGGCTCGAGCTCGGTCAAACTCGAGCTCGAGCAGAACTCGAGCGGCTGGTTTAATAATCGAGTTCGAGCCGAGCTCACATATTCTAAGCTCGTGGCTCGTCGAGCCGCTCGCGAGCATTCTTTATAATAATAATAATAATAATAATAATAATAATAATAATAATAATAATAATAATATTATTATTATTATTATTATTATTATTATTATTATTATTATTATTGTTATTATTATTTTTATTATTATTATTATTAAAAATTAAATTAAGGCTGCTAGTAGTAAGGCCTCAAACAGGCAAACTCAATTCATCTTCGCATTTCACATCACTACGAAAGAACAAACGACGACGAGAGTCTCCTCTCCGGTCTCCGCCTCCACCCTTGTCGACGACAAAGTTACTCGGCCTTTGCCTCTGTCCTTGTCGACGACGACGAAGCAGCCCTTGCCGACGTCAACGAATCTGTCCGGCACTCCGGCCTCCGCTTCAGCCTCGAAGGTCGAAACAAGCATAAAAAATTAAGAATTCCTATATCCTTTTTTCACTTTAGCAAAACCAAATTTCAGCACAAAAATTCGAGCTCAAGATCAATCACGAACTCGAGCTCAAGATCGAGCTCGAGCTGTTCGAAAATTATCGAGCTCGAGCTAGAGCATCAATTCTCGAACTCGATCGAGCTGGAGCTCGAGCTCGGCTAGACACGTTTACACCCCTAGGCTTACACGCAGGGAGCCCGAAGTTACTTGTTCATGCACAAAGAAATTGTCAAGGGCTAAGTGTTTCATCCACTAGTGGAACACCGGATTTTTGCACACATACATGGCACTTAGGTTATCAGTGACTAGCAGCGATATGGATTGCAGACGAACCCCAAGCTCACGCAACAAACTCTGAACCCACATAACTTCAGCAGCGGAATTGGCAAGTGCCTGGAACTCAGCCTATGTGGAGGACCGAGAGACTGACCGTTGTTTCGCAGACTTCCAGGAGACGAGGTTGGAGCCAAAAAAAAATACACAATAGGCAGTGGTTTACCGTCCCCCGTCATGAACGCCACCCTAGTTAGAGTCCGAATAAGACACAAGAGAGAGATGACAACTATGTTGGAAATATAGACCAAAGTGTAGTGTACATTTCAAGTTGCGCAGAAGCCGCTTCACAGCTTGCCCGTGACCCTCAGTCGGCGACGCCATAAACTGTGCCACTCAGGCCTCGTAATAGCCAGGTACTGCAAACAACCAGTAGCCTAGCGATAAGACATGGAGTTAAAAGGCTTGGTGTCTGCACCAAAATTAGCCGAAGGGCATATCGGAGTGGAGACCGGCTTCGCCTCCGTCATGTTAAACTGCTCCAGAATATCCACCACATACTGGCTTTGGGACAAAAACATACCAATCATAGTTTTGGTCCTGAAAAGGTTTAGGTACGAATCTAGAGGAGGGGGGGGGGGGGGGAATGGATTCGCATAGATTTTAAAAAACTACTCGTGTACAATTTAAGGAATCGTTGGAGAAGTGCACAACGGAAGAAAGGATTCGGGTTTCTTTGCACGATTTGTTAAAATGATTATCACAGGCAGCAAAGATAAAATGATATGAATGCAATACGAAAATGAAGAGAGAGAGAGAGAGAGAGAGAGAGAGAGAGAGAGAGAGAGATTTTTATAGTGGTTCGGCTGTTAACTAAGCCTACTCCACTCTACTTCACAACTCGACTTAAATTTTAGGGGAAACAACCAAACATATTTAGTGTAGTAGTCGATAAAATTTATGTAGTATTTGAAGCCATCTACATAAACCATTACAGAACTCCACACATCTGTGTAAATCAACTGCAATAGTCGAGTACTAGACATAGAACTAAAAGAGAACAGAAGTTTGTGACTTTTAATGATATGACAAGATTTACATGCAAACGTTCTAAGCTCTTCAGGCTTAAACTTTACATCATTATTTCTAAGCAGACAGGCTAAAATTTGAGTATTGGGATGCCCAAACTTATGATGCCAATTTTACAACGGCAACTTGGTGTGATATTGACCTGAGACCGCTGGACAAGAAGGCTGTAGACATCACTCACGATCGGTCCCCGCATGAGAGGAGTTCCCGACTATCGATCCTTAACAACAAAATGTGTGTCAAAGAATTCAACCGAGATAATGTTAGTCTTACAGAGTTTAGAAACTAGAACAAGATTTTGTTATAGACTTGGAACACCCAACACATCAGACAAAATAAGGGACCGGCTATTTGAAGGTATAGAAAATGACCTAATGCGTGAGATACGAAGAGACTTACCATCGCCCAGCATTATCTCATCAGGCCTGGTGTAGTCAGCCAGTGAGTGAAGGGACATTGCATCATTCACAGTGTGATGCGAGGCCCCAGAGTCCATGAGCCACGGTTGTGGAGAAGTGGCAATGGTAGAGGTAGCATGGACGGTAGGTGACTAACACCGGGTACTTTGCGGCTCAAGCACATCAACACTATTTTCCTTCAAGAAATTGACTAATTTCCGGCTGAATTTGGTGTCATTCCCGGGACAGTCACAGTAATTGCAATACTGACCAAGTCGGTTTCCAGAATTTTTTGACTTGGTCTGGCGCCCATTCGAGAAAGCAAAGCCACATCTGCCAAACCGATTGGGATTTTGAGAGTCAGCCGGGCCATTAAAACGCAGTTGTGTGGCATTGGCTGTAGGCATGTGAATATTCGAAGCTGCTTTGTTCTCTTTCAACAATCTCTCGTAGTCAGTGAGGACATCATGCAACCCACCAAACGATATAACATCCGTTCGGACGCGGAGAGCAGCCACAATTGAATTGTATTCATCACCAAGTTGCGTGAATATATGGATCACGAGGTCTTCTTCCGTGACTAGACTTTGGGCACTACTTCATGTCTGCATAATTTGTTGTCATATTGTTAGCCATAAATTCATCCTTCCCATTGCTTAATCATATTGAAGAGATATGCTTTTCTTTGCTTTACCATATCTTTTCTTTTCCTTGAGAAGGTTATCTAAACTTTAATGAAAGGAAAAATTACCGAGCTCGAGCTAGAGCATCAATTCTCGAACTCGATCGAGCTCGAGCTCGGCTCGACACGTTTACACCCCTAGGCTTACACGCAGTGAGCCCGAAGTTACTTGTTCACGTACAAAGAAATAGTCAAGGGCTAAGTGTTTCATCCACTAGTGAAACACCGGATTTTTGCACACATACATGGCACTCAGGTTATCAGTGACTAGCAGTGATATGGATTGCAGACGAACCCCAAGCTCACGCAACAAACTCTGAACCCACATAACATCAGCAGCGGAATTGGCAAGTGCCTGGAACTCAGCCTATGTGGAGGACCGAGAGACTGACCGTTGTTTCGCAGACTACCAGGAGACGAGGTTGGAGCCAAAAAAACACACAATAGGCAGTGGTTTACCGTCCCCCGTCATGAACGCCACCCTAGTTAGAGTCCGAATAAGACACAAGACAGAGATGACAACTATGTTGGAAATATAGACCAAAGTGTAGTGTACCTTTCAAGTTGCGCAGAACTCGCTTCACAGCTTGCCAGTGACCCTGAATCGGCGACGCCATAAACTGTGCCAAACAATTTACCTCAAAAGAAACATCAGTCCCCGTAATAGCCAGGTACTGCAAGCATCCAATAGCCCAGCGATAGGACGTGGAGTT